GGTTTGCATTATGAAACGAGGAAGTCCTGGATTCAATTCTGGGTAGGACCACTTTGAGAAAAAAACTTTTCTAAATAGGTTCTGACCTGGGTTTTCTGGGTTGTGTCTCGAAGTGAATTCCGTTGCCCTGTTATTCATAGGCAGGGAATTCGCTAGTTTGAGATCAGGCTAGTGCTGTGGTTGTAAGGCACATTATTCTTAATGTAAGAAGATACGTTGTTTTTTTATCATTAATGCATTACCTGTTAAGATCTCAAAGTCTGTCAAGTCTTGCTGTCAGGACTTTTTCATCTCTCACATCCGATTATCAAGACATCTGAAACTGCTACGTCTGATGTTTTTTAAGTCCGCCATGTCAGTTACGTCTTGCTGTCGGAATAATTATTATAACATAATAATATAATATAATGATTAACTTAGTAGTAGTGCCCCTCAGATCTTTGTTAAAGTTCTGAGTGGCACTGCAACTGTTATAGGCAGGCGGGTAGCTTACCACCAGGCACACGATTCTTCGTCTCGTAATTTGATATTATAGAAAAAAAATCAAATCTCACGTCTGTCAGAAGAAAATAGTTATTTGTTATGCTAGGCTGCAAAGTTGTTGTTTCACACGAGTGCTTGTATTGAAACCTGGGCAAGCGAAGGATATTAAGCGAGTGGTTAAAAAATAGAATCATCAGCGTAGCGACGGTTTTCAAGATACGAGACGCAAAACAACTTGCTGCCGAGCGAAACACACAACTTTTCACCTCAATGGTAGACAATGGTAGATGAAAGAAAAACAGTTGAACTATAAGAAATCAGTTTTAATAAACAAAATTAGTTATCGTAGTAAATTTAATGTCAACAATAATAAGAATAAAATATACCTAAGGATTTATATTACATAAATAATATACGACAAATCACTGAAAGAAAAAGCTAGGTGCATCACAGTCCAACATCCAGTTCGAATTTCAAAAACCTTTTCCACGTTAGCGTGGAAAAAACGCTTTTGAGCGCAAATTTCTCACGAGAAAGGAAGCCTTTCCGAGCTAATGAGGTGAAACAAAAATTTGTAACGTTTTTATTATAATTTCTATATTGCTGCACTGGCGCTTAAATATTAAATGCACTGGCTCACTGTTGGTAACTTTAGAGTAAGCGCCTTAGTACATACATGGCACATACGAAGTTTGGTCTACTTAAAGCAGTATTTGAATAATTATGAGGTACTTAGATACTTAAAATAATTATTACGTTGTTATGGGACGACAGAAATATAGATAATTGCAACACAACCTACATTCTGGGTCCGTTTCTTTGTTATTGTTTAATCTTTGTACCACAAATAAAGGTTTAAATGCTGTTCATATTTAAAAAAAATACAAGACGATGTTTCTAAATCATTTGTTAACAGAACACCGCTTCAAGAGGTCGATTTCAACTACTACTTTGTCAGGAAGAAAATTCTCGTAAGCCTGTAATTTCACCTGCAACGCGTTTCTGTTCGGATAAAAATACGAGTACGAATTCAACTTGTTTTTCTAATCGATAATGGGGCGAAACACGATTGACTGAAGTACGTTCGATAAAAAAATCACAAAGTTCCTCAAAATTTTCATTTTCAAAAATTACACAACCACGATACAATTTCGCCCGCAGATGTCTGTCTATATGTATATGTGATATATGTATATCTATCTATCTAGAGAGACACCGCAAGTGTACATACGTCGCGTGCCCAAAGTAAGTGAAATTCATTTACTAGCCCAGCTACACTTTAGAACACGCTCGACCGTTATCGTAGATAAACACCAGTCAAAAACGCGAAAAGTGCATAATTGTGCCATTATAAACTGCAAACGCACCATAACTGTGGGTAAACGGGTAAACAGGAACGTTTCCTTCCATGGGCAAGTGATTTTGTAATCATAAGATGCATAATTTATTTTAAGAATTTATGTAATTATTTATACATAATTATTTTCGTTTCGTATGAATTTTGAGAAAACAAATATGCAACCGAGTGTATGCCTCAAGTTTGTAATACATTGCGGCTTTTACTAGGTGTGATATATTTGTGATCATTTGTTAATACGCCATGAATATCGAACGAACGCACTTTTGTATAATGCATTCCGTTTCGTGGTATGGCCGCTTATACTAATAATAATTAATAATGAAACCTTTGGCCAAATTTAACAATTAGTGCTATATACGTTGGGCAACTCGATTCTGATCGATTTTGAAAACAAAGGGACGAAAATTATTATGACCTTAGCAATATTATAAAAATATTCTATAACTCTTTTGTTCATAACGTTTAGTAACGTTTCGTTTTTTTTTTTCAGTTTTGTAGTATCTATAATCAGTAGTAAGTATCTTTAATATCGATAATTTTTGCAGCACGTTGCCTCGAATGTCCGAATATAGTGAGCAAATTATTATATAGATCGCCGGATATATAGTACGAATAATACAAAAAAATATAAATAATGCAAAGAATTAACTGTGCGCTGTCTTTTACAAAAATCTGGAGTTGGTCATACGTATGAGTTCGTTGCTTTCGAGGACGAAGGTGGTCTAGTTTATTCCACTTAAGATGCTATCCAAATATGCAGAGTAGCAGAGTTAGAAATCCGAGAAATAATAAACAAATCACAAAAATTTCACACAAGGCCGTCATTAAGTAAACCTCTTCTGATTAATAAGATTTTACCATATTTTGTGAGCAGTTATATTTTCATTTGTCTTGCCATTCATCAATTTGATCAATTATCAACAGAAAACCATCTAGTAAAATTAATTAAGGCACTCGCAATTCATATATTGATGTGCGTTTTCATTGTTTAAGTTAATCGATAAGATCTTCTATTACAAATAGATGTTGTATAATAAGCTCATTTTATTGGAAGGACAATAGGGAAAGCGGAGCAGAATCGTACACTTTTTTTAACTTTAATTTTGGGCAACTAAATGAAATTATAATGAATATTTTTTCTACCTAATTGATGATATAACTAATAAACATTATTAATTTAATCTTTCCTTTCATAAATAGCATTGAATAATTGATAAATTTTGACTTTAAGAAAAAATGGAAATTGTCTAATTCTGCCCCACCTGTGGGGTACTTTGATATATCCCTTGGGGCACTTAGATGTGTGACTCGACGTAGTGCGCTATTCCTGGCTGCTACGTATTATCAGCACTAGGAGATCGGTTGTTCATAAAGTATGACGCTATATGTGCATTAGCACTTGCTAGATCAAAACTGCTTTCTAGGGCACCATTTGAAAAGTGTTCTTTGTAATGTAGTCTCGGAAGTAGAAATACAGAAGTTAGAGCTGACTATAGCGCAAAATGTCACTAGTTCACATCTTTACAATTATAAATGACAGATATATGTCCGTGATTTTGCCTGTGAATCTATTGTGAAAAATATCACTTCTTGCCAGTAGATCACCTACAGGCTGGTTCATTTGAGTGGATAAGGGGCAATACTTTTTCCCGTGGTTCACCTGTGTGCACATGAGTGGACCATGGGCAATTATTATTTCCCGTGGTTCACATAGGGATTTTTCTTTTCTCGTAAGTCACCTTGTTATTAAAACTCCTTTAACATTTCAATGGCAAAGATATTTAAGACTACTTTATTGTCTATTAACTGACAATTTGATGAATTGAAATTGTTCATTTACAAATATCATCGTCAGTCGCTATGTTATATCTAGCGACATCTGAAATTTTTAGAATATATCATTTGAACGTCTGGTTTGCTTGACTTGCCCTTACCGTGTTAATTTTATTATAGTTCATGACATCTATTGACGCTAAAAGGAACTAACTTGTCGGGTGCGCAATTTCTCTTTTCAGAATGAATGGACTAGACTTGACATTTATAATAATAATTATAATAAATAATAAATGTTTATTTCAGTAATATAATTAACTTTACATTAACAGTGGATGGTACCTCCTATTAAGCTTGTCAAGCCTGTGTCAGGAGGCACCGCTCTTCCATAGCTATAAATTCATATTTAACATTTTTTTAAGTGTATTTTTATTGAGTGAGTTAAAACCAATTAAAAAGTTTTGTTCATTTCAATTATTACGCTTATTTCATATGTAGGTACTTAGGGATTTGAAGCAAATTTGAGTAAGAATCTTGACTGAAGTAGATATTATGTTGATATGGGGTAAAAGTTTTGGAAATGATTCATATTTCTTAATATAACGCAATTTCGTCACAATTACGATTAATTGTTCAGTAAATGACGCCACGAGATGCAATAATGAGTTCTTGTGATCCATTTGAGGTATATAATTTTGTGACTGTGAAACTTATTTTATTTCACTTGATTTTAAATTTTTATTTATAAAAATTTAATTTAATAAAAATTCATAATGAAAAATAAAGCATTTTGCAAAACATGTTTTGCGTAAATTAGAATGTATTTTGGTATATTAAACATTAAGTTACTTATTTAAATAAATAACTTTTGTACATATTACACAATTACAGGCTGATGACGTAATCATCTCAGTCAGCAGTGACCATGGAACCTGTAAAAGGCCTGAAACGTTGATTTGTTTGAAAAAACAAACATTCGAGAAAATTGTTTCATTTCCAATGTGTAACAATTACGAAAATCCAAAAACTAGAAACAAGTACTAAAATTTAAGAGCACTCTAATTGGTACATGCCACGACTTTTACATAAAAGAAATGTTAGAAACCTGAGCTCTCAGATTACAAAACAATTTGTAACCTGAGCCTGAGTTCACTTTCTATTTATTCCCTTTCCGTTTTTAAGTAGATTTTCAAGCACTTTTATATGCTCTTTCATTTTTTGTTTTGTAATGGCCGGTGCGATTATTACTTTGTTGTAACTTATTATTAACTAACTATACGATGTTAAACACATTTTACGTTAACTTGTTTATACTAGAAAATGATCGAAAACGTTTTGGTTTTTGTAACCAGGAATGAAAAAATCCAAAGCAATCAGTTTGATAGATTTTATTACAAACATACAAAACAAAAATAAACGGAGCATGGGCTAGTTTTTACAAATAGATTATTAATATTACTGTGACAGTTAAATGTAAGGAATTATGTAACATTTTAGAGCTTTCATTTCGAGAATCTCAATTTTTAAAATGGTCGCGGGTCTCGAGGAAATTTTGGTGTTTTTCGTCTGAAAAAGAAACGATTGGAAAACATCATGCTCGAGTGTCCAAGACTGATGTTTTCGTTACTGGAATATCGAGACCTTTCTGACTCAAGTCAATTAATTAAATAGTCTTAAATAAGTATTAAATAGCCACTTTTATCGGAATTATTTTACATATATTTGAGAGATATTTTATTTTATTATATGGAGCTTAGAGCGGAGATTGAAGAATGATGGTAATAAAATCACAAACAGATCCTCTCTAACTGATACTATGAGTACAATAAACGACCTTTCTTTCTTACGTACTGAATATAAAAATTCAAAAATACTTTCATAAATAATTATTTCATTTTATAAAGAGCTTGATTAAAATACTATGTCGGATTGCCTAAAGCCTAGCCTACAATATGGCATCCTTCTTTTGAATTAGTCTCGTTTTGTTTCTAGGATATTCGTGACCGCACCGAGTTTTGGTTTTTTCCAGGGACCAGATGTACTGCAAAACTGGAAGCCCTAGCTTTGCTTTATTGCTGTAGGCAATTATTATTCTTTTGGTTCTATTAATCTAACAGTTTTTGTTACTATGGGTTCATCTGAAAAGAAAACAATATATTAACGTTACATACATGTGTTACGTTGTTTTGGTTGCCTTTGAAGCAATTGCGTAACTTTAAACAAACATAAAAAACACGTGTAGTAAGCCAAGCCCTCATAATTAAACTTGCCATAGGAAAAATCGTATTTTTTGTACAAAATGTTTCATTTCTTAGGTATAACAATCTTGAAATCGAATCGATCTCGAAACCTTAAGAACTCGATAAAAACTTACCACATTCTCTGTTTCTTTTAGTTTCTGTAATCTCTTCAACTATAGTTCCATTAGGAAATACCGTGGTTTTGGTATCTTTCTCTATAATGGGCTGAGGTGGTACGTTAATAAAGTAAATTACATTATATGATTCATCTTCAAGAAGTTGGTCCCAAAAATCTGAGTCAGTTGCTTCGAACCAGACTACTGGTTCACCCACTGATTGATTCTCTAATCTATCTAACTCTGCAAATAATGAAATTATATTAAAAAAATATTAAAAGCAGAAAGACACAGTGAACATTTTAACCACGATAAAAAACTATTCAAATAACATATTTATCTTACCAAAGACAGTAATATCATCACTGACGTCAGATGAAACTTCATCGCGTATTTCTGCAGTAGCACATGATTCAACCGGTGTTGAGCTTTCATCCACAGTTAAACACGGCTCATCTGTGATAGCTGAATCAGTATCGATTTTTGGTATGGTCACATTAGAGGAAGTAGATACCGAGGAATCTGAATTGACTTTACTTGTAGAGGAATCAGTGTCAGAGGTCGCAGTTGAATGAGAGCTAGTTGCTGATTTAGTTGGAATTGACTTTGTAACATTAACTATCGGAGTTGTTTGATAAGGCGTTGCAATTGGAGAAGAAGAGTTTGAAAAGACAGAACTATTCGGTGCCTTTGATGTTGTTGTTGGTATATCCGATGCCTTTGATGTTGTTCTATGTGGAGCAGTGACAGACAAAGTATTAACATGGGTACGAGCACTCGGTGTAGGCTTAGAAATAACTGGTGGATGGACAACTGATTTCGTTGTGAGTGCAGCATGCAGTTTATTCATGGTTCCGTCTTTTGTTGTGGTCTTGGGAGGTATCGGAACACCTGGTGTACTTGGGATAGTGGGAACTGAGGTAGCTGAAGCCACAACTGCTGACGATGATGATGGAGCAGCAGGAACAGCTAATTTTGCTGTTGGTGGGGTTGAAGTTTTAGTGGGTGACAAAGTGACAGGTGTTTTAATGACTGCTGACGTCTCAGGGGCCTTATTTACTGGTTCATGTGAAATACGGGGTTTTAGTACGGAATTGATTATTGGACCGCCTGTAACTGCCGTTGCCGTTGCAGTCGCAGCGGTCGTAACTGTGGGAGCTGCGTTGGGAGTAACAGGTACTGGAACACGTGCAGGATTGGTTATTGGACCGCCTGTAACTGTCGTTGCCGTTGCAGCCGCAGCGGTCGCAACTGTGGGAGCTGCATTGGGAATAATAGGTACTGGAACATGTGGAGGATTGGGTTTTGAAGCACCAACGGGATAAGTATGTGGATTTATCTTCGGTACATGGTTCATTAATGTGCTAGCGTTAACCAAAATATGCTCAGGATGTTTCTGTATAATGGGTTCTAAATTATCTACATGTTCGACTCTTCCATCTGGATGTACTACTAAGTAGCGCTTTTTGTTTTTTACCGACGCTATTACGTTCTGAAGTTTAGGGTTTGACTGTATTAATTGTCTAATTTGATGATAATCTGAAATAAAGTTATTTTAAATATATATACATACTCATCATATTTTGTCCTATACTTATTATTATGAGTACAATAAGTGTACTGAAGGACAATATACTCACTTGATGGCGAATTAGCATCTTGATATTGTTTTAGTGGAGTATAAATATTTGTTTGTTTCAAGTTCGGTTTAGTTATAGTGCGAGCTATTTGTGCTTCTTTTGCATTTAAAGCAGACGTTCCAGCACTTGCGCGAGCTATCCCTGCTTCTTTTATTGCTAGGATTTCAGCTGCTCTTTTCCTTTGATCATCTATTTTAATAGGAATTGCATACCCACTTGAAGCTAAATTTTGTGGTAAATTTCTTAAAGGCAACTGCTCTGTATAGTGAGATTGTCTAATTGGATCAATATTACCAATATTCTTAACATTTTCCATATGTCGGAAATTTTGCGGAATATACGGCTCGGGTACAGTATTTAACTTAATTTCTCTAATTTCAACTGGAGTATGTGGTGGCTGAATTTTATAGTCTATCCTTTCTTTGATGAAAGGACGGTTTTCCAGTAGTTTTTTCTGGATTTCTTCTACTGTTCGACCTTGGGTTATAGATGGGCTACGAATGGCATAATTGTAGTTTGGTGGTTGCGATATAGTTTTCCTTGTTATCACTCCTTCATATTTAGAATCAGAATACTGTGGTTGAGGTTGCGCGAAGTTCGTATATGTGTTCGCTAAAGCTGGTTGGTATTGTTTAGGGTACTCTTTCTGATATTCCGGAAGGAAAGGAATTGACTCTACAAAGAAAAAACAAATATTGTATAATATTGACCATGTATGTATCTTTAATAAAATCGTAACAATTAATAAAATACGTAAATTAATAAAATAGTGTATAATTAATAAAGGGAACTTACCAGTGAGAGTAGAAAAAAGAAGCAAAACGCAAAACGTTATTAGTCTTCTCATTGTTACGTTTACATTGATACTGTTTCGCACAATACTGAATGTTTCAGAGAAGCCGTTATTATTATAAACTCTATGCTACGAGTAAACAGTTGTGTCGAAAAAACCTGTTCATACAAAACCTCTTTTGTTATAAACGATATTTGTTACAATACGATTCGACTTACAGGCTGACTGGAAACACGCGTCACATGCGTTAGGCATGACGTCGCATTATAAAGAAATAATATCTTCGCTTTGTCTAAACTAAAGTAATATTTTTGATTATATATCATTAAATATACGTTATATAGTTTATTACATCAGAATTTCCATTACATTACATGGAATAAATATTTGTTTTAGGATGACGCGATCAAATTCTGTCTTACGTATAATTTATGTCGTTCTACAAATATTTATATGACATGCTTAAAATACTTGTTTTTCCTGAATAAAATTATGATGAATATTTTTGGAAAACTTCTTTGAGTAGAACTAGGTATACAGTTGTCACCTTGAATTCCACTGTTTGGTCAGTTTCAGTACTGGTTACGGTAATTTTCCCTGTCTTTATTATATATATATATATATATATATATATGTGTGTGTCTGTGTTTATAAACACAATCACCGTATAAATATAAAGTATTATCCATATTTTATGATTAACATGAAAAGTCTGTTGGCGAATTTCTGCCTACTAAACGTGATGAGAGCCTATGAACATGGTGTATTTTATACGCGCCGACGACACACGTTATCGTGATTCAAACGCAATGCAGTCGCAGAGAGTAAATCTTTGCAGACGTTCACAAATTCATTGGCGCCTGCAATCGCGCGTATACACGCGGCAGTTACGCTGTAGTCGCGCGTATGTATCACGCGTTCTGATAATAAATAGTTTGAATTTAGTTTTGTTTGTTAATTTCAATTAGTTTTTTAAGTGAACCAACCAAATAAATATAAAAGCACTCATAATGTGTCTTTTCAAACATATCCTAAAATAGATTTAAGAGAAATCGCTTGCTAGATAACATTTAAAAAAAGTAACTGTACTATATTATAACTATTCGTTTTTGGGTGTTTATTTCGTATGCATTGCACTAGACACGGAGTGTGAAAAGAATAAAAAATCACAGCAAAAATTGTCTTTAACATGAAATTCTAAGTATAAAGTCCATTGGAGTATAAAGTTTCTTGCTTGCAACGCGACGTTTGCGCGCGTTTCAATAGGTACAATCGCAATAATTTGCTTTTTGAGCCATTAAGGCGCCATAAACGCGCGTTCGTGAAAGTAAATACGCCGTGTGTATTCAAAATTTATCGTTATCATTCTTATCGTTATCATTGCTTAATTATTTCCATGGAGCAACGACTATCCCAAAGTGAGAACAAAAAGTGAAAATTTTCTCGATGTCGTAAAGTGACATCTATTTTTTGTGTCTGGAACTACGATGTTACCGTGACGGAATGGGTTGCTCTCTTCCCTACGCAGATTTTTGAAGTAGTAAATTACCTGTGTTAGTTCACAAGTCATGCAACAGATGTCACTATGCAATTTGTATTTCTTTTTTCATAAACAAAAAGTACAGTTTTGTTTATTGCATTGAGTTGTTAATAGATTTTTAACCGACTTATAAAAAGGAGAAGGTTCTTAATTCGACTGTATGTTCTTTTTTTAATGTTATTTTGAATTATACAGTTCTTCTAAGAAGTATCAAGTTGGCTTTGTGGTCAGAGGAATGATACAAATTAAGATTTGTATTTAAAGGTCAAGAGGTTTTACGACTTATGATTGTTAGGTTTTACGACTTGTGCTCACTAGCGAGCAGTAAACGCAATAGTATGTACGTGGTTCGCGAGCTCGCCGCGAGCGGAACATGTGCGGTTCGCAGTGACCCGACGATGACCAGGTACTCATTCTAATAAGTGAAGACTGTTTCACGCGAACACACTATAACCTCGCTACTGTATCTGTCACGTTACAGTTGCAGCTTGCTAATGAGTACCCGGCTTAAAGTGCTCGAGGACTTTTTTACTCATTTGGACGTGTCGTTTTTAGAAACATGGCAGATCTTTGGCCATATGATCTGATCATGAGATATATAAAAACAAAATGACTAATAAACAGGGATCGGAATGGGTAGAGTTTTTTCGAAGAACATAGACAGAAAATGGAGACTGCCTTACGACAATATTTTTTAGGTCCAGACCTTTTCGAGATTCGGGAAACCACTTAAGAATAACAAAAATTGACGTAATTGGGGACAGGTAGGTACTTTATATTTATCTTACCTTTGCTACGCCCAGTGGATCGGATCTGCGATATTGCAGACATAGATTTTTTCTTTAATAGAAAAATGCCAATCGAGAAATCTTATTGTCCTAATTAAATATTGTCATATCACATTTTTTATGGCAAAATGTGATATGACATCTAATAGTTTAGTAGGAAAAAATAAAAATGTGTATGTATATATGGGACCATACATTTAGCGCCCCATCATTACAAAGTCTTAGTCGATCCAGTCTTGGAATCACTACAGATGTATTATTAGACCTATTTTCTATAGGTATGCATACTAAACGCGCGCCCAAACTACTTATACGCGTCAGAAAATGGGCAAAAACTGCTCATGAATACGTTTATTGGTTCAATACATTAATTAGCAGTGATCGGAATAGTTAGGGTTTTTTCGAGGAATATAGACAGAACAGGGGACTGCCTTACGAGAATATTTTTTAGTTCCAGGATTTCTTTCGAGATTCGGAAAATCACTTGAGTATATTAAAAATTGACATTATTTGGGTTAGGTAGATTAGAATATATATATCTTAACTTAGGGACGAGTTATTGCAACACCAATTTTTCAGAATGTTTAGGAAAATTCCTACAAAAAAAGAAATTTCATTAATTTTTTTTAAAAGTATACATTTTACAAAAGACTATTTCCCGCCAAACTGGAAACAGTTACTTAATAATAATAATAACTTAATACATTTAATTAGAGTTAATAAGATTTGTATTACTAACATTCTGTTTTATGGACATTCCTGCAGAATCCTAAAACTATCGCAACGACTCTTCGTGTTCTAGGCATTCTAGATATACGTTTTAACTTTCTGACTTTACGATTTTTTTTCAATTTTCATGTTATAATCAGAAAACTCCTGCATGCTTAACACATTTTGCCAGCCTTCTTTAAAATAAAAAAGGGTGCGACATATAAAGAATAGTAGATAGTAATATCGGAATGGATTGAGTATATATACCTAAACTTCAAAGAAGGAGTACATGTAGAGTGGATAATACCGCACTCTGAAATACCGGAATGATAATCATAATGTTTTCATCCCGGAATTTTAGAAATCACGAATTATTTATTGGATTTTGAATACATTGATAACAAATAATTGTATCGAAGAATCTTATTACAGTTTTGAGGGTTCCGAACTAAAACTGTTTTAAATTAAAGTCTCTTGCTTTACATATAGGAAATTAAAACTAAATTGGTTGGTTTTTCGTGTTTATTTGTTTCAGTAGGAAATTAAAACTTCTGTTTCGAAGTCATACATGATGTTTTGTTATTACTTCAGATAATTACTGTAGTGATTCCAAAACTGGATCGACTAAAACTTCGTAACGATGGGGTACTAACAGTGTGGTCCCATAGAAAAATACGAATTTTATTTTTCTCCTACTAAACTATTAGATTTATGGCAAAATGTGATATGACAATATTTAATTTAGGTAGTAAACAATAGGTTTTTTAGTGAGGTATCGTGAAAAAAATCTAATGTCCGCAATATTGCTAATCCGACCCACTGTGTCGCAATGTTAAGATAAATATAGTGTACCTGCCTGTCCCCAATTACGTCAATTTTTAATGCACTTAAGTAATTTCCCGAATCCCGAACAGGTCCAGGACCTAAAAAATGTTGTCGTAAGGCAGTCTCCATTTTCTGTCTATGTTCCTCGAAGCTTAATAAATCCTGCTAATAAGTCACACTTGATTACTAAAAACCATTCAAGATCAAGGCTCAGTGGCGAAATGACGTGCATTGTGTTTGTCAATCTAGTGATAATTGGGTATTCTACAGGTGAGGATATAGGTAACTTTTTTTTTATAATATCAAGTGACGGGATGAACAAGTTGTGCGCCTGATGGTGAGCTACACGCCTGTCCACTGTACACGCAGAGCCACTCAGAGCTTTAAATCGCAAAGATCTGAGGGGCACTGCCACTGCGTCCGTCACCCAGAGACATAAGTTGACAAGTCCCATGTGCCTGTAATTTCACCGGCACCCTTACCCTTCTAAACCGGAACGCAGTAACGCTAACATTACTGCTTGGCGGCAGAAAAAGGGTAAGGTGGCACTACTTCCCAGGACAAACCTTTGACATGGAGCTCTACTGCTGCTAAAAACGACTACTAAACTACCGTGACACTCATATATGCTAACTAAAGTAGCGGATAAATCATGTGTTTAAGTTGAGTTTTTGCTTGATACGTTTCGAAATCGTCAGTGGTAATCATGAGCTACCACTGCGGTAACTCGACGATAGGCGACGGAGACTAGACGACAACTCAGTTTTCGTCGAGTCCATGATTAAGGACACAAGGACATATCGAGCAAAAATTCGACTTTAATACGTGAGTTAGTTAATCTGTCCATCATATTCCGCACACGTCAACCCACTGCTGGGTATAGGCAGGACTAGTAGCAGTAGAGCTCCTTGTGAAAGAGTTTGTCCAGGGAAGTACTGCCACCTTACCTATTTCTGCCGCCAAGCAGTAGTGAGAACATTACTGTGTTCCGGGTTCGAAGAGTTAGGGATTGTTAACTAATGTGTCCGGGTATCGGGCGCAGTGGCAGTGCCTCTCTAATCTTTGAGATTTAAAACCCTGAGTGGTATTTCAACCGTTATGGACAGGCGTGTCGCTTGCCATTAGGCTCACCCGTCGCGTCACTTAGTTTTTATAAAAATAAAAATAAAACTCTTTATTGTGCCGACTTTCACAGTCCTGTTTCATCCCCATCCTAGGCCATTCGCATCCAGCGCTATCCTGCAAATCTGACTGAATCGTCACACCCCTTGGTCACCGTTCCGTGACTGCTTTGGTCCATTCTAGCCAAATGTCCTGTTCATGTCCACCTTAACCCCGTGGTGATAGCACTCATGACATCAACTTATCTGTTTTTCGTCGTTTTTCCAAATGCCCAAACCAGACCGCTCCACTCTTTGTACCGTAATTTTGTGTATAGTTTTATAAATATTGTTACATTATCGCAAATGTAGTATATAAATTGTAATACCACATTAATATTTCACTATAAGAAAACATTAATTATTTTAATATGCACGATCCACCTGTCTGTCGTATAGTGAATGTACCGAATCACGAACCTGTCGAAACCAGAATTTGTCCTATAACCGAACAAGGGATGTGCATCGATCGTGACGTAAGATCTTAACAAGCTTGTGTTATTTCTAAATTGTTGATAAAAAAAAACTAATAAAATGTGCAAGTACAATTGCTTTGATTAGGAAAGGAATGTAGATGTAAAAACAATTACTCGTATTTAACTGTTCAATCAATCTTACAATAGCCGTATTTATGGTACCAGTAAGTTAATTATAGTTGTACAATAGGGTTTATTTAGAAAAAATTCTAAATATGGGTTACTTTGTTTACGTCTGCAGAACCGGTAATGAAACAAATCGAACGTAGTATTTGAACTTTTGCTTCCATACCGATCGGGTCTTCGTAAATAATGAAGATGATGCCATTTTTAATGAGTTATTTTTATAATTTAGCTATGGAATGTCCTCCGGGCGAGATACCTGACCAATGTCCATCGTTCTGTTCCTACGACTTTTGCCCAACAAATGAACTATCGGATCACATACCGTGTGAGAAACCGGATAGACCGTCTGTCTGCCCAAAACCGGCGTGCAAGTGTCCGTTCAATGAAAGGCGAAATCGATTTGGAACCTGTGTTAGTATTGATAAATGCCGTAAGTAAATTTTTGAACTATTTACACACAAAAAATTGTATAAGTAAGCAGGGTTCAAAGTGATAATTTTCAGTGATAATTTACCTATCACGATAATGTACCTTTATAACAGTCTTCATATTTATGAAATGAATTAGAGCAACAAAATACCACCCCGCTAGCAATGTCGTGCCCAAAGATATGAAAAAATAAGGGTCGTGCATGTATTTGTGTATCACAGACCCAAATATGTCAAATGTCAATCTAAAAAAAAGGTCTCATACCAAATTGTTTGCCCAAAGATTTTTTCGAGTCTATTAAATTTGTTTTCTGTGTTTTTTATATTGTAGTCAAAAAATAAAGAAACAAAACTATGTATCAGCATAGATAATTATCAGATATACCAGATTTACTGATTTACTGCCTCTAATATTTGTATGGCCTATATTTATTTTTCTCGTGAGTTTGAGTATAATTTGTGGTTGCCTATGTGCGAATCCATATCACCCACGATACAGGGTTTCCCTAGTGCGGGGCTATGAGTGTGTGCGTTATTATTAATCATCAGGGACAGTAAATATCTATTATCTAATAATATCTATTATCTATCTATAGAAAGACACGATACTTATTGACACGGAAAGATGTTGCCAGTTAATAAGTGTGGTGAGTCCTTAGGGACAGTGAGTTTCGACTTATATTGTAAAAGGTCTCTACCAACTTGACAATGTAAACTTACGAAGTACTGCTGAATTTGAGAAGTGCTGTGTAAACACGGAAGAAAAAAACAATGGAAGTGCTTTAAGCCTGGATTACTTCGGAACCGCTGTCGCCAAAGTGAACACAAACATATGATTTATAATAGTTTATAAATCATATGTTTTTAATAATGATTGGTAATAGTTTCTAATTTAAAAAGATGTGACAAATTCTGTATTGTTAATATTATTTAAACTGTACCCAGTTGCTATATCGTTCTAAGTTCAATACCTTTATTGCAAGTTACGACGTTTTGATTTTATATTGAAATTTTATTCAACGTGCTGCCATCTTGCGGCTAGTAGCTGGACTACGACGAACGATTTTGCATCAATTCGATAAACAGAAAATTAAAAATTTATTAAAATAAGAATTACCGATAATATGAAATACTGCTACCGGTAATATTTTTGGTGCTGTGCTATTATTGTTGCACTCCAGAACAGAACAATAAGGCATTTTTCTGTAATTTTGGAAAATTTGCGCGAAAGAATGACACAACAATACCATACAAAGTGAAAATCGTCCATCGAGCTCAGTCCGTCAGTCAGTAGGTTTTTCGAGACCTAATGGTGGCATGCGTCAGACGCTAACCACTTCTACTGTATTTATTGTTCTGTGTGTGTAACCTAGTTTCGTATAAGCTATTAACGACAATGAATATTAAAAAATATGCCTCCGTGTGACCTGTGTTATATTCGTATCGACAAGCATTTCCTCTGTAAAGGTGAAATGACTGCGTAAGCCTTTTTTTAAGGGTCTCTATTGTGTGCGCTTTACTTTTCGGATTATTCCTTATTCAATGTGCTGATCTTGATACTGTTTGTTGATAATTCAATCTTTTGAAAATGAAACTTTCTGTGTCTATATCGCGTATACTTGTTTTTCCAACCAAAGCATCGTTTCGTGCTCTTTACAGATCATATGGTCGCGGCGCGGATCATACGGAAAAAATAGTTTTATTTCTAATGTCTAGCCACATATGAACTCGAATTCAATCTTCTATTTTATCGAAGTGAAAACACGCTTGTTGCAGATTTTCTAGATAGAAAAAAAACGAAATAATTTTTGTTTAATATTTTTGTATCAACTCCGTAATTATTGAGCGAATGGAATGTAAAATTTCGTACTAAAGGTGTATTTATTAAAGTGCGTTAATTGTTAATTGAAGATGAACAAAGTGTGATTTGATTTTAAGTTATACACAAATATGAGCACGCTATAGCCATCTGTTCCTTTGTATACGGAAGAAATTATTGATGCTAACGCGCTGTTGAATCGATGCTTACATGCACGTTTGAACCGATGGAAACACGCGTGTGAATCTCCAATACCATAAAAAGGTATCGCGGCTGTATCGCGTTTGCATCGCATTTGTATCGCTGCTTAAGTTGCACGCATTTACAGATTAGTCCCTTTATTATTTATTTTTTATAATATCAAGTGACAGGATGAACAAGTCGTACGGCTGATGGCAAGCTACACGCCTGTCCATAACAGTTGCAGTGCCACTTAGAGCTTTAAATAGCAAAGATCTGAGGGGCACTGCCACTGCACCCGCCATCCTGAGACATAAGTTGACAAATCCCATGTGTCTGTTATGTTACCAGCACCCTTACCATTCAAAACCATAATGCAGTAATGCTAACATTACTGCTTGGTGGCAGAAATAGTAGGGTGGCAGTACTTCTCTGGACGAACTCGTTCACAAGCTCTATTGCTGCTAAAAGACTGACTGACTCACTGAATCACAATCAATGACTGACTGAATCACTGCAAATACGCTGCTAAAAGTCACCGTGTGTAACCACCCTTACATTTTCTCATTATGTTGTGGCTTACTCAGGCCAATGCAGGGCTCTAAATTTAATACTCTGAAATTAATTTGGACGATATTTTTTCTACAAAATGACTGTCCTACAACGAGGACCTACAATTATTGTTTACTGACTTATATTGTCCCACTCCTATCCAAATGCGTTAACATTATCACTAGAATTTTTCAGGGCAATGTATTTTTAAATCAGTATCTTGAGCGATAGCACGCATTAATCTCGTTATGTCGATGAGTCATATTCACATGTAAACATAAAATGATTAATTGAGAATGTCCTCTTAGCATCGAGGGTTGATATTGCATCCTTAATGTAATAAGGCCACATATACAAAACTCTTTAGGAGAGAGGTTTACGACCGCAATTAGGAGAGTCATATTTGATATGATATCAAGCGACATGCTTGTTCATAGCAGTTCTAGTGCCAATCAGAGCTTTAGGTAGCAAAGATTTGAGGGGCACTGCATTGCACGCGTCACTCTGACACTATAAGTTGACAACACACTGTAATGTTCATATTACCGCTTGGCGGTAGAAATAGGTAAGGTGGCAGTACTTTCCCGGATTAACTGTTTCACAGGGAGCTCTACTGCGACTGTATATTTATATATAATTTTTTAAATGTAGGTAGATTAATTGTATTCATATTTGCATTAACCTAATGACTGTGTGATAAAGAATTTTTCATACATTCATTAAAAAGTCCGTGACCTCTATTAAAATGTTAATGTGGAATTTCAATATAAATTGGAGCCCGATAATTATGAGTTTGGCGTGGAATTATATCTATATTATAAACAATTAAAAAAACAAAATTAAATAATGTTATTAATTCAATCATTAAACATTGTTACGTTATCGCAAATAAAGTTTGTATTATTTTTGTGACTTTCATGTGATAAAAGCCTTTTAACATGAGTCTATGTTGCCAAAACACACACACTCATAATTTGAAACACTACAAAATCTTGATATTGATTGGTCGTAGTTTCAAATTTAAAAACAAATATCAAATTCCTGATTGTTAATATTATTTAAACTTTACTCTGTCCGTCTATCGTTGATTCGATACCATCAATACCTATTATTGTAAGGTACTGTTTTGATATTGTATTGAGATTTCAATCAATGTGCTGCCGTATTGGAATTATTAACTTAGTTCTCCAAAAAAGAAGTGACCATATTGCAGGGCTTTGCTTTCGTTTCTTGTAACAAAAAAACTATTTCGATAAACAGAAACTTGAATATTTCTAAAAATTATACTTTCCGATGATACGAAATAACACCACGGGTAAAAATTTTGGTGCGGCTACCATTTTTGCACTCTAAAACAGTACAATAAGGCATTTTTCTAGGATTTTAGAGAATTCGCACGAAAGAATGACACAACCGTACCATACAAAGCGAAATTGGTGGACTGAGCTTAAGTAGGTCTTACGAGACCTATAGTTGGCACGTGTCGGACGCTAACTAACACTTCTACTGTATTTATTGTTCTGTGAGTAACTATGTAAATTGTGAATAATTAGAATCTGCTATTATTTTCAGCGCCATTTCCATGCACTCGACCAAATGAGAAGTACCAGAGCTGTCCACCTTACGTGCCCACTGATGATTGCAAAGATGTTGTGGCCAGTGACTTTAATAACATACCTCCGATTACTATTTTAAGATATTGCTCACCATCTTGCAGATGTGTTCCAGGATTTGGGAGAAAAAATGGAACTTGTGTTCCTTACAAATACTGTTTAACGGAAATAAACAATTAAACAGAAAAAAAAAACATTTTAGGGTATTCTAGAAAAGTATCTGGAGTACTTGGGATTTGTCTGAACCCGAGTTCAGTTAAAGTTACAACGGAACCCAAATGAACCCAAATGCGAGTATTCAAATTCAAATTCAAATACTTTAATTCAGATTTCATCCATATTGGTTAGTATAACAAACTAAAACTTATATACTAGTAATGAAACTATTTTTCCGGATTTAAATCGCGTATATTTGTTTTTTCAAACAAACCGACGTTTCGGGCCCTTTACAGGTCCCATGGTCACGGTTGGTCGGTTTGTTTGAAAAAACAAATATACGCGATTTAAATCCGGAAAAATAGTTTCATTCCTATGTATAACAATCGCGAAAACCTAAGAACTCGTTATATACTAGTGTTAGAAATAAACAAATTTATAAATACGTGCTGGGTTTAGGACATACATGTAATTTAGTCCAGTGTTCAAAAAATGAACCCTGGACCCTGCCAGCAACAATACCCACAATGCTATTACCGCTACCACGAACTCTGCGCATCAAGGATGCCGCTCTTTTTCTCATTATGGCGGCAAATCCGTCTACATGAGCATCGGCGAACATTCCTGACGCGCTACAGAATCGCGGCAGCCGCAACAACATCCGGAATATTATGTATTGTGTGATCCCTGAATTGGATTGCTTATTAAGTTACTATCTACACTTACGTTTAAAGTTGAGTATTGTTATAACGAGTGAAAAGATCTGGAGTTAGATCTTCAATCGCGAACTAAAGACATTCATTTTACTCAGAAACAACTAGAACAATTTTCAGCTGCAACTAATGAGCTTTAAAAGCTGGGTACTGAGTATATAGAAAGAAACATCATAAGAAACATCATCTTTTGCCACTGGAGATGCGGCGTCAGATTGCTGATCTAGTGTTTTTGAAAAAAATTGCTTGTGGTGCCGTTGACTCCCCGGAACTCGTATCCAAGATTTCTCTTGGAGCCCCTGCAAAGACCCTTAGGTTTTATTCACCTCTGTGCGTACCTCTGGCCTCTTCAAACTTTCGGCGGAATGCATATCTCATGCGTGCGAGTAAAAGTTTCAATGCATTGTCCAAGCAGGTTGATATTGACCTTTTTAACACTAGTGTTGCATCGGTAAAGCGTCTTATTAGTGGTTTGTTTTTTGGTGAGTAGCTAATTGTTGTGTGTGCGATTATGTCACTACCTATATAGTATAATTATTAGTTATATAGTTATAATTTATAGCTCTTTAATTAACTTAATGTGTGTCTACCGGTGAGGACCTATAATTGGCTCTCCGTTTTTATTTAAGTTTATGTTATGTAAGATAGCCGTTGGTCTTCCTAAAATTAAATAATAATATAGAACTTACTCAAATCCTTCTTCAGATTAGTGAAACAGATGCACAAGTAGAGATGATTGATGATGATGACTCCATCCCCACCACCTACATCATAAACGCAACTAGCACGTGCATCGTATGCCAGCGTTGTTGTCGGAAAACGTATCTACTCCACTAAACCTGTTGAAGTTCGACATACTCAACAGTCAGCCAAGACTATTAGAACTCCTACCAGTCCATCCAGAAGACCTGTAGTTTTTTCTGATAAAATAGTTGTAGAACTAGGTCACCACCTAAGTAACCACTTAAAACAAAAGGTAGTTAACTAAAGCTATCTCTATGGAGCTACTTTTAAAAAATTCATTTTTCAAATTCAAATCCATTCATTCATTCTTTTAAAGTCAAATTATTACACTGTTAAGTGGTTTACAACTTTATACTAAATATACAACTGTGATTCTTATAATAGGTGATTTTAATATATAGATATGTTGAATGTGTGCGCAAAAAAAAAAAAAATTATAATAATATTAGTAAAAAAAGAAATAAATAGTAGCATTACCGTGTTCTTGAGAATACATGAGAAGCGTGGGTGTAAATTCATATTAAGTGCATTCCCTTACTGCTCTAACCTAGGCACCGCTCATATTAAGTATGTATATAACATAAATTCGCATATTCATAATTTGGCATGACATTATTAAGTTCGTAAGGAACTTCAAATTTTTTGAGAATAATTTATATTCACTCATAAGGTATCTAGCACACATAGCTAGTTTGCTATCTTTTAATATTAAGGTTGCTGTTATAGAAACTGCCTCCGTGGCCGAACGGTTACTATGCTGCTCTGCCACCCAGAGGTCTCTGGTTCGATTACCGGGTCAGGAGAAATATTTGTATGGCCTACATTTATTTCTCTTGTGAGTTTGGGTGTCATTTGTGGTTGTCTATGCGTGTGTCCATGGCACCGGTAACACAGGGTTTCCCTAGTGCGGGGCTATGTTGAGTGTGTGCGTTATTATTATTATAGAAGATAACAAAGTTCCACGACAATGCTCCTAATTTAAGTAGCAACAGTATACTTATTACTAACCTCAATTTAAACTGAAGAACACGATAACAGAAAAATCTAAAAAAAAATATTCAAGACTTTATTGGCTGAACATTAGAAATAAGTCATTTTTTACATGATATTTCTGTTGACGTGTTTTGTGTTACAGAACACTGGTTGAAAGACTACGAAACAATTAACAACGTAGAATATGATGTAATAATCAGTTCATTCATAAGAAAGAACTTAAGTAGAGGTGGATCTATGATTATTAAGGATATCACAGATCTTTCTACTCAATGAACTATTAAGATTTCATGTGTGGAATTGGATCAGGTAAACGACTCTTTCATGGGGAACTGTATACGTTGTTACAATAAGATTCCGGAGCAAATGTTAAGATCATTATTTCCTAAGCTTAAAAACTACGTTAAAAATATTTAGATTGAAAGTCATATTACAAAATTGAAGACTAAGCGTTAGATAAAGATGTATGGAAAGAGGACACGGCTCTAGATTTCACACAAATTTGATTCAAAGTGTACTCCATAGCATTTAAGTTTATTTGAAAAGAGCAATCCCTAAAGTTTCTTAATCGCTCTTCTCAAGGAAATCAGCGTAGTGAACGAGCAGTAGCTTAAATGTGACATTATCAAGTGTAATTTTTTTTTTACCTATGGAATACGTGTGGTTCTTTGACTTTGTTAGATTAGTAAATTTTTAGATTAGTAAATTTGTTAGATTAGATAAGTAAATTATAGCTATAGAGAGGTACTTGAACTTAATTATTATTATAATTAAGAAATGAAAGTACTATTTTTCCGGATTTAAATCGCGTATATTTGTTTTTTCAAACAAACCGACGTTTCGAGCCCTTTACAGGTCCCATGGTCACGGTTGCCCGTCGGTTTGTTTGAAAAAACAAACATACGATTTAAATCCGGAAAACTAGTTTCATTTCCTATGTGTAACAATCGCGAAAACCTAAGAACTCGATAAATTATAATTAAGTTACAATAATAAATTAATTAATTAATTAATGTCAGACAATATCACAAACGTTGCTCTGATCCCAAAAGTACTAAAGCACTTGTGTTATGGAAATCGGAAACAACGGCGGTACCACAAACACCCAGACCCGAGACAACATAGAAAAGTTAGTTTTCCACATTGACCTGGCCGGGGATCGAACCCGGGTCCTCCTCATCCAACGTTCACAGAATGGCCACTGAGGTCGAAATTCGATGACAAATATGATGTATTTTTTTTTAATCAGCACCAAAATCTACATAAAAGTCGGTTTACAAAATAATGTCAACAAACTCCGGAATTTGAGAACCGATATTGATGATTCTTTTTTGTTGGAAAGAGGATACCTCAGTATTGGTCTCATTTAAATTTGAAGAAAATATTCCACCTCAAATTGTGGCAAACTAGGGCATGAATCCGGTTCCGCGCACTTTCCGGTAACCGATTTCAATAAAACTTGACAAATAAATAACGCACACACTCAACATAGCCCCGCACTAGGGAAACCCTGTATCGCGGGTGCCATGGACACACACATAGACAACCACAAATTACACCCAAACTCACGAGAGAAATAATTGTAGGCCATACAACTATTTCTCCCGGCCCGGGAATCGAACCTGGGACCTCTGCGTGGCAGTCCGGCATGGTAACCGCTCGGCCACGGAGGCAGTTTAAAAATATGTAAAATAGATGTAATTCCACGAACTTTTGAGGTTGGTTGTTTATAATAATCTGTACTGAGATTATTATAAATAATTTCTTACAGATAGACGTGTATTTGCTAGCTTTTGTGAATACTAATTGTTGACATAGTTGAATATAAGAAAAATATGTAATTACGGAAGTTCAATCTGCTTATTAATTTCAACGGTAAAATCGATTAAGCAAATTATTTGTTTTATATGAAATCATTGGTCACGTCTTCTCGACCAAAATGTATAGAATAATGCAGACAACAACCATAGTTCTTTATACAGATTGACCTTCTTGAAGTTCAATACTTTTACAAAGCAACACACTGTACTGTTTACCTAAAGTAGTTGGTATGTATGTATACAAACAGTCCAAAGGTTTTCTGGTAAAGTAAACAATGTAATGTATTGCTTTATTCAATTGCTTTGTGTAAAGTTAAATTGCGTATATAATGTTACAATGAGATTATTACCTTTTGTTTTTGTTCAAATTTACTCAAATGTAACGAAAGTATAATGAATTACATTTTCCTTGTATTTTTGGTAGAATAATAACGATTTTTATTTTCTTAAATTCAAAGAACTTTGAATAACACTTCTTTTTTTTATAACACATAGTGATGGAACGAACAAGTAATGCGCCTGGTGGTAAGCGAGAGGCCAATCCATAGTAGTTGCAGTGCCACGTAGAGCTTTTAATCGTAACCTTTGGGGCACTGCCATTGTGTCCGTCTTGGGGCACTGCCACTGTGTCCGTTCACCTGTTTCATAATTATTTTTATATAGGTAACCATTAGTTTATATAACTACTAATTATTTTTTGTCAAAGAAAAATGATCTAAGTACGATCATTTTTAAGCTGTAATATGAGGAAATTTGACCAAAATGATACCTAAAATACAAGTACACATTTATTTAGTTTAGGCATCGCAATTACACATTAGGTTGTATTATTAAAATGAAGAATGAACTTTACTATGAATATTCTATAATTTAGGTTCCCTTCTTAATGCTTATTTTAATACTAT